TAAATACAAAATTTAATCCGTGAATATGCTCAGAAAGGGGCTATTCTATCATAATCACGGTTTAAATTTTGTATTTAAATCTAGAACACTCTAAGGAACAGTTTTAACATAAAAAAAGTAAATGTTCGAGATGTCATCCGGAAAAGTATTGTCTATTTGTTTTTTTTGTTTTCACGTGAAGCACTTACAATTCAGCTTATATCGCTAAACATTAAGAGTAAGGTTTACCAAGATACATTGATTCCAGGTGTTAGAAACATTATAAAACAAAGATTTATTAGGTAACGGTAAGTCACTACGTGCATACATCCATATGTACATTATACAGATTCTTTGCATTTCTGTTCTTTGTTTTTCAATATTTTGATCTGTACCCCATTATCAATGATTGAAACACATGAAAATCATATCAACAAACAAATTGATTCCTTTAGAATGTAAACAAGTTTCTTTTTGAAACCCGAAGTCAGCATGTGATTTGTTTAACCCGTTTTCATTTATCTTTGACCGAGTTCATTTATTAAAAAAAGACATCTTGCATATACTTTTCGGCGTCTGTACGTTAGGTCGACTGCTGCTTTACATGACATAACTTATTCAAGCAATCGACACCTTAATATGTCCTGAGGAAATTAATGGGTGCACATGCACTGATTTGTTTTGGCCTTTTTTGCGTGGAAAGCAAGCAATAATTCAAAAAAGGCTGTTATGGTGTCAAATGACGAGCTAATTAGCATCTATACAATGTACCTGTTCTCCTACAACTACTAACACACATCCTATTAAACATGAAGCAAGCCAAAAATCGATACTTGTCGAGCGTGTTGAGAATGCCGAATGCAGAAATCACCGATAAATAGCAAAAATAAAGTTCGCATATGCAAAAAATGAGGCAATTTTGCCAATGTTTTATTAGTTACTATGTTACCTTTCACTTCACCTCGCAAAAAAAAATACGAGGTGCAGTATCTGCGTCTGATTTTTTACGAAAACGGCATTTATACAAAAATACATGATATCAATTAAACAACCAACAGATCTAATTAAATATTCAATGATAATCTAAACATTTTCGATTTTATTCTATTGACGTTGTCTGAACTATTCTATATATTATTTAACTCTAGTGTTCTCTATGTACTATATTTATTTACAGCATTAATTAAACGTTTTGTTGCTATCATAAATGGAGCACTAATAACAATGATTCGTAGCTGCTGTTACCCAAAGCATGCATGCAAACGTATAATTATCATTCATGTAAGATGTTCATTTTTTACTCTTCCGAAATATACGATGTGTAGAGTAACGCATTTCTGACTAAACCAACATCATCGTAAAAATCTTCTTCAATCATTGTCTCATCATCGCTATCGCTATCGTCATCATCACCATCGAAATCAGAAGCTTCGTATGTAAAGATTGGTGTGTTGTATCGTGGATCTGTTGTTTTGTTCTTTTGGATCTTATAATCATAAAATATTCGTCAATTTTGATTAAAAACCAAATAAATGCATTAGGTTAATATCCTTGAAAACCTACAGCTTCAGGTATTTCGCTCAACAACGCATCCCACCCACTATTACTAGCATTCAACGAATAATCACTCTTTACGAGGTCGGTCGGCGACGACGATGTTGCCATTCTCGTCGTCCAATAATTCGTCGTCGACCCATAAGACGGGAATTGCACAAAATTTTCCTTGTTCTGCTGAAAGAACACTCCGTCATTCCAACGATCGAACTCTGAGTTATCACACAATGTGAGTCCCGCTAATTCTTGTGGTGTGATTCTTGACGACAACGCGAGGTTTAATTCGCGCGCGAGAAATTGGAGAAACGAAGCGATCAAAATCCCGGCTGAGAATATGTTTGTTTGTGGAGGATTGTTGTCGTTGTTATGAGTGTTTAGTTGTCCAGAAGCTGTAGTGTATGTTGGTCGTGAGCTTGAGAAAGAGGATGTCACTGGTGCCGGAAGTGTTGGTGGTCGTGGTGTTTGAATGCTTGCGGTTGCCATTGTAAGTTATCGAAATATCAGATCAAAGTAATATTTTTTATTATACCCGTGATGAAATAATAAAAAATAGATTGACTAATTCAAATTCCACGTCTTTTGAATTTTTTTTCGAATTTATAGTCGAAAAAAAACTCAAGCAAAAAAAATTAGCCAATTATTTATTGTTTGATATCGGAACCATCTGCACGCCGACCACAAGCATAATAATAGCATACTATCTTATAATTTATATTATTAGAATAGTATCAATTGTCATCTTTCTTATGGCCGAGGGTGGATTTTTTTAACTTCTTTCGGTCAGTATCGACATTTCTTTTGTCGTTTCAGTTGTAAAAATATTTTTCCTTTTTGAGAAAAAAGATAACCGACTATCATCTAGTATATTAGGTTGCTCTTTGTGGGAAAGTTTTGAAGTTTAGAATAATTACGTTATGTGTTTTTCTTCTCATTACTATAAATCCTGTTAATACTAATTTGAGTTTACTCATCTGGAAACGGAAAAAATGAAACAGATAATGTACAATGACTATCTCCTATAAACGTTCTGAAGAAAAACACGAGAATGATTTTGGATGATAGTGGATGAAGTTATCTACGATGAAGAGTCGATCTTCATGCAAATACCGTGTGATGATTATGCAAGCAAGTTGGCGGTAGTGATACAGAACACACAATCCACATGCGAGTATGTATTATCATGGGAAAAATAGACACTTGGTTTCTCTATTGTCAAAGACATGACAACGACGAAATGAAATACGAAACAAAAAAGAGCGAATCAACGAGAACGGGGAATGGGTAAATGGGTTTTGGTCTATGGGCGTTTTCGGGATGCATGATGATGATTTTACGTGTCATGTGTCAGCAATTTACAACACATGCTACTAAAAACTTGCTATGCTTATATTGTCCATTGTTGAAAATGCCCATCGGTGTGGGGGAATAATGAGTCAAAGTTCAATTGAAAAACAATGCTACTATTTCTTGTTTGTTAATGTCAAAGTTCCAAAAAGCACAAAAGCGAAATTTTGGTGAACGTTTGATAATTATGATGAAATGTTTGGACGACTATGATGTAAACAATTTTTCTTTGGCTGTTATTGTTGAGAAATTCGTATATTGTTTCAGTATTTGGAAAACTGAGTTCTAATTCACTATCGCTATTGTATAAATTACATGAAAGAATACAATAACAATAAACAATTTCATTTTTTGATTTTCATTAATGAACAATAAAGCAAAACTAATCTCTCTAAAATAAGTAATAACGATAACAAAAATTATGACTAAGCAAGACAAAGGAAGAAAAGATTATTAGCATATATAAAATTAATGGTCTAAAAAAAAAGCTTTAAAAAGATTTGGAGAAAATGTGATTATTGTTGTTCTTGATGTTTCAGCTTCAGCTTCTTTTATGCCTCTTTGAATGTCAGATCAATAGTACAGGGAAGGGACAAAAGGATGAGTCAATGAGAAATAATCAGGAGAATGAATTACCGGCTGAACAAATGGCTAACCACATTGTGACTTGTAAGTCCACTAAAAATAATCGTTTCACGTTCATTGTAATTATACGGATAAATGGAATTGGTTCAAAGCATGAAGTACTGGTGTCGATTAAGTATGATGATGTTATTGATGACGACTGAAATCTTGCAAAAAATTAATGGAGAAATGATTTAATACTTTGTTGTCGCAGTTAATAAGAATGAAATTCCAATAATGTGATTAGGTAAATAATTATAATGAGAAGAAAACGGCTAAAATTATGCACGTTAAATTTAGATTTATCATTTGTATAACGATAAGAATCCATTCATTGTAAAGGAACATCATCAGTCAATTTCGCCTCCATTGTAATTATATCATTGTCGTTTGTATACAGGGTGCACACGAGAATGTATTTTTAACTTTTCGCTATAATTAAAAGAAATAATTGAAACAATTCTTTACAGTGAACTCAACAAACTTTCATTCGTCATTATTAACTCAGTCACGTCATAAAAATATTCGGAACATTCAATGACTCTTTCATTGGATAACAGAATGATCTAAACAACGTTGATCCCAGATTTTTACACGCGCAAAATCATTATTACTCTATCGTACATACATACACTCGCGCGCAGATTGTCAAAAAAATGAAAGAATAATTGACGCATGTATATTTTGCGTGTTGCGCGTATATGTAGGTGTGCAATTGTATGTACGAGTGCACGTCAAAAAAAATTCGGCGAAGAGGTTTAGTTTAGTTTAATTAATAATTTACTGTTAAACAATAGAAAGAAGCAGGATTAGAAGGTCTAATTGTTGTTGCAGTTATAAAAACCACACTGGTAGTAGTCTAAGCTGTTTCCCACCAAATGCCTTTTTGAACTTGTTCGTTCATAGGGTTAAATTTCCCAATTCATTTTTTTCTTCGCATATAACGTAATAACGAATTCCCTTTTCTTGTTCAATTCAATTTTAATTATATTATACTAAAATGGCATTTACAAATTCAAGAATAATAACAAACAATACCAATATGTTAATGACACCTCAATTCTCTTCAGATACACTTTTTTCAAACAAAAAAAATGATTCTTTTGCTAATGACTTGGCACGCGCACAAATGTTATTAGAATATCTAAACCTCGAAGAACAAAATAAGAAAATTACCGAAAATGAGTCTCTAATTGATCCTAATACTTTACATTTCGAGGATTTTGATGGCGCTTACTGTGATGAGGAATCCGCTTCTATGGGATATCTAACGCATCAACAACAATATTACGAAAACAAATTCGATTACTATTCGGACAGCATTTCTACAATTGACGATGAAAGCCTACATACAATTGAAGAGGACGAATTCGCTGCATCTCGTCCTTTTAATCAACAGTTATCTAAGGAATCAAATTACAACGAATTCATTACCTCAAATGGCAAAGAACTCGATAAGATGGCCAATGGCAATTATTTTCTCAACAACTTTTCTTATAATGCCAACAGTAATGACAATGGTAATTATGTTCCAATTGACGAATGGAAAAAAAGCTTTTCATATGACATTGAGGAGGAACTCATTTCGAATTTCGAGATGACCTCGCATAAGCGTCATCGTATTTCCATGATTATGCATTACGAACGACAGGTGCGACAGATGGAGCAGGAAATTGAAGATCGATTGATTGAGCAGGAGGTTTTGGAGTGGGTAGATGGAATTGAAATATGATTTTTTGCTCATTTATTCATTAATTAGGAAAACAAGTGTATCACAAAGTTAATAACACTTATTGTATATATTAATATGTCGATATTATGATTCTTATGTATATTTATCCGCAAGAACCAACTACTGCACATGTATTGTTTATTTTAAATTCACGAGTATCGTTCATGTGTAAACAATAACATAACAAACAATAAAAACCTGATAATTTGCATACCAAAATGTAATCTTTTTTTGGTATGATCATTCTATGACAGAAAATGGAAATTTGTGATACTTGCGTAATATATGTACCTTAAGGAATGGTTATGTACCGACATAAAATTACCTGGTTGTACCACAACGGCAAGGATAAATTATTTGCGCAGTATAGGAGTTTCCGATTAAGCATAACGTGTTTTCTAGAGAATCAAACAGCATTTCATGTGGAATATGGGCACAGTTTTTTGAATACGTGTGTCTTCATTACGTTTGCTGACAAAATCGCGCATTTTGCTGCGGAAAATATATTTGAAAGTATAAATATAAGGTGTGTGTGCGGGATTCATAAAAATCCTTTTAGCGAAATAATCTATAGCGAGGAAATGATGGCTTCAAACTCCAAGACTTCTACCACTTCCCATACCACCATATCTTCCACAATACGACGACGAGATCGTTCTGAAATAGACACAACCGGCCGCCGATCAATTTTTCAAGTACGCGGAGCTTCATATCCGCCACGAAGACGTGCAAGATTTAGTAAACAAAATTCCCAAATTGCAACAAACGAAGACGAAGTTTTCGAAGAAGACATTCAAATTCTTGAATCACACATTGACATAATTGAAGACAAGGTAAACGTCCTAACGCTAACCAAATCGACTATCATTCAAAACGCTTCGGAACAACTCTCTGATAAACCGGATACTAAAGAGAGAAAGTTTTCGGAGTTGAGCATCGACGAATTATTGAAATTAACAGGTTTGCTTGATAACAGTCATACAGAACAGAATACGAATACGAATACGACGGAATTACAGCCGGGTCAATTCGACGTTTTTTTTATTTCTCGTTTATGTTGGTCGGAATTCAGAAAATGCGGCTACGTATACTAATTTCTTAATCAATGACATCAATATAGGATTGGACCAAATATTCCACATGTAGATGATTTCCAACTCTACAAATTCAGTATTATTAATACAAACTAAAAAAAAATATTACCGAAATTATAATACAGTAAGGTTACGTAATTCAAACGTTCTAAAATTATATCGATATATTAAAAAATATGCAATAAATTAATAAATATGATATGGTCCAGTGCAAAAAGGTTGATACACCAAAAAGTAAAAGTATAAAATTTATTAATTAAAAGTTAATAATTTTTTTACATTATTTAATAAACTTTTTGAATTTTTTAAAAAAATAGATTTTTAATATTTTTTCTATGAATATGCAATTTTATAAATTTGTATTAAGCAAGTACATTAATATATATACAGTGGCGATCATAATTAATGCAACAAAAAAAAAATTTTCGTTGAATTGAAATATTTCATGCAAATTCGGAG